ATTTATATGTATAGAGTTTATCCAGGAACTGGGGGTCCAGAGTAAGACAGACTTGACCTCTAGTTGCTCCATGGCAGTAATAAGTGAGAGCTATAAGGAGGATTTTTGCATAATTTCCAAGACCCTCAGATAAGTCACATCTTCAGACTGGAGGGAGAGGTAAAGGTGGGATCACTGGGGTACTGAGTATGGCAAGTGACAGAACTGGGGCCAAGGAAAGGGCTCTCCAGGCAGCATCAGAGGTGAAGATGCAGTGCGAATAAGGTCATGAGAGAAAGCGGCACTGTCGAAAGGACCAAGAGGGAGGACCCAGGAAAGAAAAGGTGGGAAGACAGAGTGATTAGAGCCCGTGTTTAGGGTGTGTGGGACCTGTATTTTGCCCCCAGGAATGGTGGGTCACCACACTAAATATTTTACCCAGGAGTTAAGACTCCAGTCAGCATTTTAAGAAGAACCCTGAGAGCCTGCAGGAGATATTCCAGTAGCGGGAGACTGGAGGCCAGAACTGAGAAGGCAACCACAGTGGTGAAGCTTGGTGGCACATGGAAGGGGCCAAACTGGGGCAGTGGATATGAGGTTGTCCCGTAGACAGGTTTGACTCATTCTTACTTATCTTGTGATTCTTTGATCTAAAATATAAGTTTTAATCCTGGAAAATTCCTAGTCACTATCTTCAAATTCCACCTTTTTCCATTCATTCTTCTTGTGACTATGAGCCACACCTGGACCTTCTGTCTTCTCCCTACGCACCTTTTCCTCTCTTATCATTACATGTTGGAGTTTTGTGTAATGTTTTACCAACAGATCTGCCTTCCGATTTTTTACTTCTACAATCTTCTATTTAACTGGTCATTATAAAACTATCTGTGAAACCTTGAGCAAGCTACAAGAATGGTTAGGTCTGTGTTCAAGAGTGTCCCTTGAAAATAAACACCAATGAAAGTACTCCCAAGTGTTGCTGAGAAGATTCAATGCTCCTGAATATGTAAATAGCTCAGAATAATGCCTGATGCAAAGTAAGAATTGGATAAGTATTAGCTATTATTTTCATTATTTCATTTCTAGAGGCTTTATTTTTTTCTCACATCTACTTTGTTTTTCTTCTATGACTCATTTTAAATGGAACAAGTACCTCTAATTCACTGAATACATTCATGAGTTACCTCAACTTTGAAACTAAATGAAGTCAGGGCTCTACTTGGTCAATTACAAGTTTCATCTCTTAGGAACAGTGCTTTTCTAAAGGTTTAGGACAGTGTTTACCTGAGGTTTTACACTACTGTTGTTACTTCTATTGTTACTGTTGTATCATAAGACATTCATCAGAAGGAACCTAAAAATATAGATTCATTGGTCTGTTTTCCACCTTTTACTCTGTGACACGAATAACACAGAGTCAACTAACATAGGGCCTGCATAGAGTACATGATAATTTTAGAAACTACTTTATAATGATTCAAAGCATTAGTGATCTTCTACTGGCCTCCTTCCTTTCAATATTGTTCCTGGGGGCCAGGGATATACCTCAGCAGCACAGTGCCTGCCTGGCAAGCACAAGATCATGAGTTTGATTCCTAGTACCATAAAAAAAGAAATCATCAGTTGGAGTGAATGCACTCCAACCTTGGGCAAGCTCCATATATACTCTTCTATCACCATCAACATTAGGAACAAGAATATAGAAGTTCATGAACATGAAGATAATATGGTTACTTTACCTATTCAGTGAAAGAATGGCTCAGGAGAAACTAAACTATACTATAAAATCAGTTACCACTTTTAGAAGATATTTTCTCTAATACTTATATGAATTATGGTAATAATCCCATAAAAATCAACTTACTTATCATTATCCAGAATATATTTTAGGAGACACTATCTTAGAAGAATCAATAGAAACTTGCTGTGCAGCTGGAGATGTGACTCTGTTAGAGCTCTTGCCTTCATGCACAGCACCCTGGGTTTGATCCCTAGCACCCAAAAAAAGAAACGAACCAGAAACTTGCTATGCTCAACACTAGGTATGCTATATTAGCAAAAGAAGGTGCTTCAGAAGAACCCATTGGAAATACTATCAAACAAATTCTGACAATTTGACAATTCAAACAAATTCTGGCACATTCTAGGTGGGCCTTGGGCAGGCTTATCTTTTGTATGAATAGGAGAACTTGAAGGAGAATATAAATACTTCAAGATGAAATTCAGGGGGTAGTGAAAGCTGCAGAACAAACAAGAATGAACCTGAGGGACCTCCTAGGCAAGTGTTACAACACAGCTCTAAGGACTTAGGATAGTGAGAGAGTCCTCAGGTAAAAAGCAACGAAAACAACCTCTGCAAAAACACAAAATAGTGATAAAACTACAAAGCTAAGTTGTATTTTTTGATGCTGGTAATCTCATGACTTGATTACCTAATATTCAGGATGAAAGGAAACTTTTCATGAATATGCTTTAAAAAATACCTTGCTTTCAGGCAAATATAAACTGAAAACAACCAACAATATAATCTTTCATAAGCTTACCATATACTTCAAAACCAAAAGAAGGTATGTTTTTCTGTGTTTAAATTATAATAGCTACACCTTTGATCTGATAAATTCAAAGGTTTTCTGTGTTACTATACTGAAAGCTTAATCATTTTCTTTTAAAATCTTTAATGCATATCATATTGGTGCATAATTAAAAATGCAGAAATGAGAAAAACTAACAACAAGCTTGTTTAAAGTGTTGGGAAAAGCAAGTGGAGATAAAAAGCAGAAGATGAATCCAGTTTTTAAAAAGGTACCTATGTCGTAGTACAAAATGATTTGTGTGCATAGCAAACAGGGGCTATATATAGTTCAAGGTTTGGAACAGATCTGCAGGAGAAAGGAAATAGGCAAACACAAAAGAGTGGAGGCTTCAGCAGCAGCTGTGAGAATAAGAGATCTATAGAGGTGAAATCCACTTCAGGCCACTGGGAGAGAAAAGGAGACATTACAGGATTTATGACCCCTCTGTTGAGATTCCTGTTTATCATGATGTGTAATTACTTCATCCTTGGCCACAATATTTCTGCCCCATTTTTTCCATTCCTTCCCTGCAGGTTATATTCTAAACGACCGAGAAAACTACTTACTATTCCCAAGTTACCAGGCCTTGGACTCACTGCTGTCTGAAATGCTGTTTCCTTTTTACTTTACATAGTAAAACGATCCCTTAAGATCCTGCCCATCAGTAATTTTTTAGGATCCCTGACAGTGGCTGGTCCCACTCCTGTGTGGGAGCCTGTCCTGCAGCACATGCTCCCTGTCTGCTGGCTCCTTCTGCTGCCCTTCCTATTGCTGCCAGGATCGCTCTGTCCTGGTCTCCAGTCTCTTGCTCCAGAAGTGTTTCTCCTGCAGCTCTACAGGAGTCTCCCTCAGGTGCTGACTGGGTCATTTATTTCTGATTAAAACATCTTAACAGCTTCTTAGGCTAAGAGATAGAAAAAATATTAGTCACATTTATACCCCAGGGATCTTGGCAAAGGACTTCAACAAGAGTTTAAAATGCAACAAACTCAGACAGGAAAGCAAGAAGGATCTGGAAGTTACTATACTGTGAACTCAAGTTTTACCCCATAAAATACATTTAGCAATATAATTAAAATAATTGTAACTGTAAAAAAACAAAACACCAGAGGAGATTCTAGATTAGAAAGATGATTATCACACTAACTTGCTGCATGCCCTGAACCATTCCACACACAGTTGTGTTATGGCTTATATTTAGATGTACTCCCAAAGCCTCATTCACTCACAGACGGGGCTTTGGGGAGGTGAGTGGATCATGGATACATAATACTAGATTAGTTTCCTTTTGGTTCAGCATAGTTCTTGTGTGGATAATGGACTTACTGAAGTAGGATGACCCTGTGTGGGTGGCACCAACAAATAGGCTTGTAGTCTGAATGGAATAAAAAAGGAAAGAGGGAGGGCATGCTGCTTCATGCCTGCCATGCCATGGACTGTCTTTCTCTGTGATGCCCTTCTGCCATGCTGACCTGTCTTAAAGCCAGCTGACTATGGACTGAAACTTTTCTCTACAAAAAGTGAAATAAAGTAAATGTTTCTTCCTTGAACTTGTAGGTGTTAGGTATTTTGTCCCAGAGAATAAGACAAGTTGATTCAAGAAAGGAGCTAGTAAATTAAAAGCATTACATAATGTCTTCTTTTCTGTAGTAGGTTGTTTTATGTTTAACTCTTAAACCATGGCAGTCCAGTGAATAGATTGAAAAAATGCTTCTGGTGGGTTATAGAAATTAAGACAAGTTACTTAGATTTCTGCTGTCGTTTAATTTACTATGAGAGTATGTGAATGCAGAACATTAGGATTTACAAACTTTCAAATTTGATAGAGTCTTGCAATTCAAATTTGATAGAATCTTTTTACACATTTAGATGGATATTGAGAGCAAGGCAAGCAATAAAATGTCATGAGAAAGTGTAAGTACAAAGTACAAAGTGAAAGCTGTCTTATAAATAAAAGTCTTATAAAGACTTTTATATCTACAAGATTTTCATCATCCTAATAAACTTAAGTGCTAAGAATCAGATATGCAAAACAAACAAACAAAAAAACAAGTGGCCTTTTACACTTGAAGATCAAAATGGGGAAAAGATCAAATGACAAATGTTTTCTTTTCTTTCTTTTTTTTTTTTTTTGGCAGAACCGGGGATTGAACTCAGGACCTTGTGTTTGCCAGGGAAGCACTTATTCCACTGAGCCATCTCCACGGCCCCGACAAATGTTTTCAGTTAGTGTTACACGAAGCAAATAATACTTCATGAAGGTTTTCTTCCTTCACTGACATAAGTCCCAAACCAAATGCACAAGGAGCAAGGACCTACCGTGCCGCTGGTAAATCTGTTTGTGTAGGCTGTGATAACGCCACATTTGCTCCCAGTAAAGAGCTGGCAACTGTCAGGCACCCAAGCACAGCTAGTCACCTTTGAAAGGACAAACCAAAGATTTTTATGTTTTAAAATCACAAGAAATGCTTCTGCTTTTATGACAACTATTTAAAAAAAACATGATCACAAAACTTAAATTATTTTAGTTGATTTACATTTTATATATACATGTCTATTTATTCCTGAGAAATTTAACAGAACTATCAAGGACTGGTTAGATCCAAGGTTGAATATGTACTTCACACATTTATTTACCTGCTTGTTACTTTCACAAACTTTGCTCTTTTTAGGTTTCTGGTGGGGAATCAGATACATCTAAATAGGAGTACTGCTCCTAACAGTTCTTACATTGTGACACAGGAGAAAAGATAAACATAGAAAAGTTGGCATTACTCCCTTGATGCCAAACCCTTCAGTCCTTACCACAGAAGCACCACATGCACTTAGGTCAATTCCCACACAGCCCAGCATGTCTTCTTGGGTACCAGGTAATTCTGATGTGTTCCATATTCATAGTAGCTACCCCCAATACTCCACTCGCCTTGTACCTTCTCTACCCCACCTCCCCACACTTGAGAAGGTGAAGGTTATCTGTGTGGGCCTCTTTTGTGGCCATCTTCTGTGCTTCAAATTGTCTTGCCTCTCCTGATTCAGAAAAGGTATGGCCTCTGTTCTCAAGATAAATCCTGTCCCATCTGCAAGGGTCCTTAGAACCCCTGTTCTTTCTTTAAAACTATCTATTTTTCCCAAGACCTATAAATGTGTTCAAGTCTCTGCTATATTGGAAAATGACATTCTCTGATCCCAGTTCCTTTTTGGTGGTTGTTGAGACAGGGCCTCGCTGTGTAGTGCAGGTTGGCCTCAAACTCATCACAATTCTGTTTAGGCTCTTGAGCTTTGGGATTATAGGTGCCCACTAGCATGCCTAGCTGATACTGATTTGGCTAAATTCTCAGTATACCATTACGGTCTTCTGGATCCAATCTGATTTTTCTGAGTTTCTTTTTTCACTAGTTCTAACTATTTATAAAGACTGAGCCTTTATAACTTTTGCTCTTGCAAGAAGAAAACATACTTTAAAATATGTATAATAAATGCATTGTCTTGTAATTATCATATGGAGCCCCTGATCCTTTTATAAAAGCTAATGTACATTACAGGATTTTAATGGGCTACTTTTTTTTTGTTTCTCGAAACATTTTGTTATTTTATCATTCTAGGAATTATGTCCTCACTACTGAAGAAACTGACATTTCCAAATACACTAAAAATAAACAACACCAAAAATGCTGGAATGTCCCTGATAATGTAAGTGAAATAAATGTCAACTTTTGTTTTCCTTATACATTATCCAAAATGTAGTGTCATTTTTAAAAAAAAAAGAACATAAAGGAAGGCTAAGATACCACTTCTGGGGTCTGCTTTCAGCTTTCACTGACTATAGTTAAGAATTCAGAAATTTTCATTATCAACCAGTTATAAAGAAGAGAATGAAACCAGCAGAGGAAGATGTTTTACATCTATGACCCTAATCAAAAGGCAAAGGGCCAGCAGAACTCTAGGCTCTGGCAATATTAAAATTGATCATACAAATAAGCTCTCAGAGCTCTTCATATGGTAATATCCTAAATAAATTTTCTTCAACTAAAGGAAAAATGTGTGAAAAAATATTTCTTCTTAAAAAACTTTTTTGAACAATATATTTCTAAGAAAAAAAGAAACTATGATATTCTGGCTCAGTTAGTGATTTCACTGGAAGTATTTTATCATATAATACTTTACTATAAGAATCTGGACCATGCCCTTTTGCTAAAAAGATTTAAGAAAGCACTGTCCCATCTTTTAAGTTATTTGTGTGCCAAATTTTACACAATATGAGTAATTATGCAATGTTTAAATTTTTATAGAATGTGTATACATAAAATGGTTCATTGTTTAGTCTTAAAATCATTTGTGCTACAATTTGTGATAGCCAAATCTTGGAAACAACCAAGATGCCCATCACCTGAGGAATGGTTGAAAAAGATGTGGTATTTTTACACAATGGAGTATTATTAAGCTATTAAGAATGATAAACTCGAAGCCTTTATGTTGAAGTGGATGCCACTTGAACATATATTCATAAGTGAAATAAACCAGATACACATGTGTAAATATCGTATAGTTTCCCTAGTATAAGAACTCAAAAGAAGAAATACAAATAGAAAGGTATAATACAAGTAAAAGGAAAGCAGGATCTCAAGGACTAACTAATCAAGAGAGGGAAAGGAGAAGAGCTAGGAAACATGAATAAGTCAAGCCATACAGTTATATGTAGAAGATGGGCAAGGCAATGATCCTGAGAATCTTCAGAAGATTTTTGAATCTAGCAGTAAATTGGAAAGATTCTCACCCTGACTAACTATATATGCTGATACTTGTGAACTAAGCTACTGCACTGCAGATGGTAATTTGTAATAGTAGTTTCATGCTCGGAGTGCCTGTCATTCTGGTCTTCTGAATATAGGCTGCTTGTCATGACATGCCAGTTGCTGCTATGATGTCTCTTGGGTAGATGGTTGTTCAAAAAGAAGGGGGTGGTGAATGGAAGCAAGAGACAGGAAAAGGAATATTGTGGGACTGTCCTGCTTCAAGGTTGTATATGGTGAGATTTTTGGACTTATGTGTAAACATAAGAAGTATATAATTCTTTATGCCTATATTTTAAAATATATTCTAATTTTTAAATGTTTTTTTTATCATATTCTGTAGGTACTTAAAGTTCAACATATCAATACTTGATGAAAAATACCTGTTCCATATTATGCCTAAGATGTTTGATATGCAGACAGTGAGGTTAAGTTTAACAGCCTAAGTTGTATGGTAATAACAATCATCTTGTCTTCTGGAGGGTTAACAACCTAAGTTTGCAGACCAAAATTAGAGAAAAAGGAGGGCTGCAAAGAAAGTCAGCATTTTGGCACTAGCCTTCTAAGGTCAATTAAGACTCAGGACATATGAGAACTTGTACTGTAACATCATGTAACTCGGTAGTGTCCCAAATTTTCTGATCAAGAAGATTATGGGGCCAAAGAGGAAAGCGATCGATGATGTAGAGTGTGCCTAAGGAGAGTCCCATGAGAGAAAACATTCTCTCAGGCTTTCACAGAGAGCACGTTGGCCAAGCAATGGCCGTGACTCATCCACATGGCTGACACTGACAAAGGATCTATAATCTGAGGTACAGGATCTCAGGATAAATCCTGAGGGGATTTCACTGACCTTATCAGACCCAAAAGCTACAACTTTTGTTGCATAGGTTCTGCTTTACCTTGGTCTTAACCATCCAGCAGAAAAGTATAAAAACAAAATATAAGAAGTAAAGTCATGCTGGTATGTTGAGATGTAGGGGACTCAGGTCAACAATTTCTGACATTGCCAGTGAAGCAGAAGACCCAATACTATTATGGGCTACTGGACTATTTTAGAATATTTTGTTGAGTTTACACACCTATAATATTCAAATAATGGAACTTAACAAAAAAAGGGGATACAGATGAATGTCCATTTTGTATCTGTGTATTCAAAGTGGTTAGGATACATATATAGTTACATTCTCTTAATGAATAGAGGGATTTGTTCTAATGGTGTTTGTAAGTAGGATATCATGTCTGCATCTTGTACAGCAATTAACCACTAGGAAGAATGTATGCAATGTGTTAATTATTGAAACTGTATTGCTATTTGTTTATCAATAAAATTATGGGAAAAAAGTCATTTGTGCCAACATGGACAAATCTAGAGGACACTGTACCAGATGAAACTGTCAGGCAGAAAAAACTAACAATACTTCAACTTGGGCATGTGTAGATGCTAACAAAGCCAATCTTATAGGAGCAGAGAATAGAAGGGGGTTGCTGTGGTGGGAGGTGGGTTGTGTGGGCCAAAAGGGAGAAGTGTGTTGTGCAGGATGATCAAGTTCTAGAGCCATGTTGGGCAGCACCTCACCTATTATTAAGCACATGGTTTTGTATCTTTACAACTTGTAAAGACAGTGGTTCCTAAATGTTCTTGCCACACACAAAGGGCAGCTGTATGATGATATGCATATGTTAATTGGCTTGTTCTAGTAATCATTTCACAATGTATATCAAAATATTGAATTATGTACCTTAAGCAGGTACTGTCAATTATATCTTTTTTTTAATAGGACAGTTTCACTAATTAAAACATTGTACATTGTTATCTTCTTAGTGGTTACTCATAGTACAAGATGCACACAGGATATCCTGTCCAAACACTACTAGTACAAATCTTTCTTCTCATTGAATTAAGTGAAAGTAGCTGTATATCTATCCTAACTATTCTGCATATACAGATACAAAATGGTCCTTCCTTTGTATTCCCTTTTTTTGTTTATTCCTGTCAGAGATGGGTATTCCATTGGCATCTAAATACTATAGGTGCATGAATTCAGCAAAAACAATCCAACACAGTCCAGCAGTCCACATAGTAGCGGGTTATCCACTGAAGTTGTTGACTTGAGCCTTTCACAGCTCAGCATATTAATATGGATTTACTTTATATACCTCATTTTTATACTTTTCTGCTGGAAAGTTAAGATCAAGATAAAGCAAGACCTATATAACAAGAAATGTAACTTTTGTATCTGATAAGGTCAGTCAAGTATCCACAGTTTGCAGATCCTTTGTCAGTGTCAGCCATGTGGATGAGTCATGGTCATTGCTTGACCAACTTGCTCTCTGTGAAAGCCTGAGAGAATGTTTTCTCTCCATGTAAATCTCCTTAGGCACACTCTGTCATCAACCACGTTGCTCTGTGTCCCCATAATCTCCTTGATCAGAAAATTTGGGACACAACTGAGTTACATGATATTATAGTTTAGGTTCTCCTATGTCTTGAGTCTTCACTGACCTTGAAAGGCTAGGGTCAAAAAGTTGGATGTCCTTACAGCCCTTCTATTTCTCTAATTTTTGATCTGCAAACTTAGGTTGTCAACCCTCCAGAAAAGAAGCTTATTATTACCCTACAACATACACAGTTGGGTTTAACCTCACTCTGTCTGAATATCAAACATCTTAGGCATAACATGGAATAGGTATTTTCCATCAAGTATTGATATGTTAAACTTTAAGTCCCTACAGAATATGGAGATAAAAATTTAAAAAATGAAAAATACTTAAAGAATATGAATAAACAGTTACATATTTTTACACAGAAATTTACAAATCTAACCATGTACAGCATTGTAGCAGGACAGTCCTGTGACATTTTTTTCCTTGTGTCTTTTTTTCATTTATTACCCATTTTTTTAAAAAACAAACAAACATTTACTTGAGAGACAGTATAGTAATAATTGGTATGTCATGACAAGAAATACATAGTTAGAAGACCAGAATGACAGGCATTCCAAGCATGACCCTTCTATTACACATTGCTATCTTCAGTGCAGCTGCTTGGTTGATAGGTGGCAGCATGTATAAGTTAGTCAGGGAGAGAATCCTACCAATTAACTGCTAGGTTCAAAAACCTGCTGATGTTTCTCAGGATCATTGCCTTGCCCATCTTGTGCATATAAATGTATGGCTTTGTCCCTGTCCTGTTTCCCAGCTTTTCTCCTTGCCCTCTCCTTGTTGCCCAGTCCTCAAGTTCTCACTTTCCTTTTAACTGTGTTATACCTTTCTATTTTTACTTCTTTTTTTAAGTTCTTATACTAGGGAAACTATATGATATTTACACATGTGTGTCTGTTTTATTTCACTTATGAGTATATCTTCAAGTGGCATCCACTTAAATACAAATACTTAAAGTTTATCATTCTTTATAGCTGAGTAATACTCCATTGTATAAAAATACCACATTTTTTTCAACCATTCCTCATGTGACAGGCATCTTGGTTGTTTCCAAGATTTGGCTATCACAAATTGTGCTGCTATAAACATAGGTCCACATATATCGCTATGATATGACATTTTCAGTTCCTCCAGGAAAATTTCCAGTAGGGGGATAGCTGGCTTGAATGAGATTTCCAGTCCTAGTTTTTTAAGGAGTCTCCACACTGATTTCCATAATGGCTGCACCACTCTAAATTCCCACCAGCAGTGGAGAAGGGCTCCTTTTTCCCCACAGCCTCTCCAACATTTGTTGTTGGTTGATTTCTTTATGATAGCCATTCTTTCTGGGATGAGATGGTATCTCAGTGTTGTTTTAATTTGCATTTCATGGATGGCTAGTGATGTGGAGCATTTTTTCCATATATTTATTCACTTCTTTAATTTTGTCCCTTGAGAAGTGTGTGTTCATCTCAGATGCCCATTTCTGGATTGGGTTTTTAAATTTTGGGGCCCTAATGTTTTTTAGTTCTTTATAAATTCTAGAGAGCAGACCTTTGTCTGAGTGCTTATTAGTCAAGATTTTTTCCAAATTTATGGGTTGTCTTTTCACTTTGTTTGTAATTTCTTTTGACATGCAAAAACTTCTCAATAAGAGGAGGTCCCAGTTGTTAATTCTTTCATGTATTACCCAGGTGATTTGATTTTTGTTCATGAACTCTTTGCCTACCTTTAGGTCTTCAAGAGTTCCTCCTACTTTCTCTTTGGGAGATCTAGTGTTTCTGTTTTAATGTTTAGATCTTTAATCCATTTTGACTTTAGCGTCAATTATATCTTAATGAAAATAAAATCACATGATATAAAAGGGCTATATTTAAAATAATCTTTATTCAAGACTCAAGACTTGCATGTGGTAAATTAACAGTTTATATGACAAAAAGAAACAGACAAAAGCTTGTTTTTGTACTGTAGAAAATATAGCAATAAATTAGAAAACTTCAAAGGGCCGGCCAGGTATATCAAGAGGGCTAGCCAGATAACTCTGTGAATTAAAGTGCCTGCTTAAGCCCACACAGCTGGCTGGGTTCTGAGTAGCCCTGTGATTCCAGAGAGGGGAGGAGCCACAGGAAAAGGGGAGCGGGAGAAGCCAGAGCAGGGAGAAGAGAAGCAGCCTAGATTGGAGTCCCACTAGCTACCAGTACAGGCAGATAAGGAACCAGCCCTAGTGGAGTAAACTATCTCTGTAAACTATTATTTCAGGTAACTGTTGACAACTTTTTCTCATGCCCTGTACCACATTTTTAAAAATCCCATATAACTCTGACTTTTTTTTGTTTTAAGAATGACAGTACATTGAATGATTATAATGTAATTTTTTCCTTTTATCATTTCAAATTTGTTATTACTTTTAAGATTTGCATTTGCTTGAATCAGCAAGGTGTAATGGTTGAAATTCATTAGTGTGAATTAAACTGGATTTTCATCAATAAAAAAAAAGTGCTGCTTAGCAGACAGAGGGGCTGGAGGCTTGATCCCTGGCCTGTCAGCGGGCCTCATCCCCAGAGGCACACTGAGAGGAATGAGACTGGGTAGCACAGCCTGCGCCTGGAATCCAGCACTTGGCAGGCTGAAAATAGGAAAGATCACTACAAAACCAATCTGTATAGTGAGACCCTGTAGACCGTGTAGTAAACACCTTTAAAAAAAAAACCCTTGAGATCATTTGTTCCTCTTTGCCTTCTCTTCATAGCAAGTCCTCCTAATGATAATGAGTTACTTAGAGGTAGCCAGCTCTTAAACAAATAGAAAAAATGCCTAATGAAAAGTATGAAGATGTCGGCTGAAAATTGCCATCAGTGTATCTTTAACCTTGCTCTGTCATTCAATTAATGCTGATGAGGAATTTATTTGTTTCTTTCGCCTTTTCACCACAAAGTCTAGGTGTTTGTAAACCCAGATTACTGAGGACAGCAGAGAACTACACCTGGTCATACATCTATTTATGTTACCATATTTTAATAGAAAGAAGACATTCCTAACTTCCATGGCACCTACTTCCCTTTTCTCCCTCAAACATTAATAATTCTAAACAGGAGAGAATAAGGAACAGGACATATTTATTCTATAATGTACTTTTGTGTTTTTATTATTTTGTAGACTCATTTTCCAATTTAGTTATACTGCCAGTTGTGCTATGATTTATGATTATAATTTCTGTGTTTGGATATATGTATGTGTGTGTATATACATGTATATATATATATATAATGCTTTGATTAATCTTAGCTGATATATTTAAAAACTTAAAAAACTCAAATTTCTTTTTCTTTTTTTTTTTTTTTTTTGGCGGAACCGGGGATTGAACTCAGATCCTTGCGTTTGCCAGTCAAGCGCTTATCCTACTGAGCCATCTCCCTGGCCCCCTCAAATTTCTAATAAGATTACTTTTCACTGTCTCTTTATTCTTAGTTCTGATAGTTTATTGGTGAGTCAGGTTATACCACTTGGTGATAACTGTTTTTTTCAGCTTAGGCAAACAAGTCATTGCTTGCCTTGTTTTTGTGGAGAAAACTGCCTAAAAGTAGTTTATCCCATTTAAAAAGAGTTCAGGGAATGGATCACATTTTTTGGCCACATGAACAAACAGCAGCTGCTACAAAAGTAATGGGAGTCAGGGTGAGAGAAGAGAACTTCCCATGGAAAGCCAGACAAAGACTGCACACCAAGTCACAGCCCTAACAACCAAGACAGCACTGCATGCATGGAAGTTACAGCTTTCAAATTCCATAGATGTCACAAACATTTTCATTATTAAGTTTCCCAGGCTGAGTTTGAATTTGAAATTTTTTTGCCTTAGCTTCCCAGAAAGCTAGGATTACAGGCATACATCACCATGCCTAGTCTATGTTATCCTAGTTTTAAAGAATAGAGCCAAATTTGGAAAGAACGAATCACCAGCCGAAGGCCACATAGAACATAAGTTTGGGAGGCCAGTTAGGACCACAGGGCTGGAGGCCTAATGTTTTTCTGCTACATTATGATACTGAAAACCTATATGTTTAGGAAAAGTCAGGTAACAAAAGAGAAGCTGCAGAAAATGGTTACAGAAAATGACCTAGTAGCAAAAGCAAGTGGACATGGGGAAGAAAACAGTGTTAATTTTGTTCAAATACTGTGTCCTTGGCTGGCACTGGCAGATGATCATCATTTTCAACAAAGAAATGGGCAGAAAATGAATTTTCAGACATACTCAAAAGAGCAGTATAAGAAAGTCTGTAAGACCTGTAAACATCAGCTTCTTACCTAGACTAGTGGTAGGAGATTTGATAGTACTGTCACTTCAACTCCTTTGTAATCACCATACTTAATTATATACAGGATTCCACAGAACACTTTACCTGGTGCTGTTGAGAGCTTTGTATGAAGTTCACTGGGGGCTCGCTCTGCTTACTCTTCAACCTCAAGATGTTATCCGCATATCCCCAGCTCAGGATGGCCGACCACTGAATGTCAGTGCTGTTCATGCTTCTCACACCTCGGGAAGGAGAATAAAAGCATCAAACTCCAACTGTTCAGTGGTTTGCCAACGGCCGAAACAATGGCAGGGTACAGGCTCAAGTCTACACAGAAGAGTATCATTCCAGGTGGAACCATCTTTTTCTCCTCAAGGTGAAAAAATTTGAGTTAGTTTTAATCCTTTAGTACTAAGAGAATTGTAAGGGTGGAATTGCATTTTTTTTCTCTTGTGTAGTTTTCATTGGGATTTATTTGACTTAGAACACAGGACAGATTTTTTCAAAAATAAAGGACAGTGATAGTCAATTTTACTCTATCCATTTTCTGAGATACCTTTCCTTTAAAAAATAAATATGAACTAAATACTACCAAATGTAAGCACCTGTTTCTAATAATAACCAAATGTAAGCACCTGTTTACAACAAAAGAGTTGAGATGCACTAAACAGAAGTTTCTACAGAAAGGAGAACACAGAAGGTATGATCAAAAAGATGGTGAATGTTTCAATTATAAAAAATTATTACAATAAAAAACACACTGTCATTATTGCCCTCAAAATACTGTCTCTTTCTCCAATCACACTTTCATTCCATCATTCTTGTTACCTTCTGAAGAAGTTCTCTTTCATGAGTGTCTTTGGTCAAGCTGTCATGACTGCTTTGATGTCCTGAACTGATTGAAAATGTTTACCTTTTAAAGTCATTTTAACTTTGGGGGACAGCAGAAGTTGCACGGCATGAGATCCAGATAATACAGTGGATGAAGACACACTGTAATGTTTTACAAGCCTGCCTTTCTGTTGAGTGGCCCCTGTCAGGAGCATTCACTGTATCTTCAATTACACCTCATAAAGACTTGTGACTGAGGACTTTCAGAACTACTTCAGAAAATGTCAAGAACAATGGCATAAGTATGTTCAAAGGAAAGAAGTATTTTGAGGGAGATAGATGGAAATCTGTCTTTTCTGTAATAATTTTTAATTTAAATGTTCACTGTACATTTCTATTCATTCTCTCTCTCTCTCCCTCTCTCCTCTCTTTCCTTTCTTTCCTCTCCCCTCTCTCCTCTCTGTCTCTGTCTCTCTCTCCTCTCTGTCTCTTTCTCTCTTTCTCTCTCTTCTCTCCTCTCCTTTCCTCTCCTCTCCTCTCTCTCTCCCCTTATATGTTTTCACTCTTCTTTCTGTCCCTATCAAAGGACCTTAATACTTTTCTTTGGCTGATCCAGAAAGGGCGAGGATACTGCAGGGGCATAATGGTGGGCTCCTCACAGCACTACCGGTACTGGTCCTAGTATTGTTTTTTATTACAGGGTTGTGGACAATCTCCTCCCAACTGGGGGAGCAGGAGCTGGTGCAAAAGGGGAAAGAGGCTCAGAATAGGTGATCTGGGGCAACTCTCCATTCACATAGACATCCACAGTCTGTCCTGACTCTGGCCTGTACCCTCTTACCTAGGGAGAGGACAAAAAGTAGTTGCATTGGGGAGGGATTAGCCAAACCTTGTGAAAGGGAAAAGATAATTATACCAGTCTCTATTCCTACTACCTGCCAGCAAACTGGCCATGTGAAAGTAGGGACAAATGGTAGGTAGGCTGGAAGAATCACACTGGTGCTGTCCCTAGGCTCTATTTAATACAGGAGGAAATGAGATAGCAAATGGCTGAAATGCTCTGATTGGGTTAAAGGAAGTGAGGGGAAGGAAGTTCCCACTTGAGTAGAGCTTCCATAGCCTAGGTGCTGGAAGAAGGCAGAATTTGCTTGTAAAGTTGCTGTAGCTTCTAGCAGGGCTGGAGCCTAAGCAAGCTTGGAAGAGAGCAGGCCAGGCAAGGAATCAGGCACCACACACTCCTCACCAGTATATGCCCTGCCATGTATCTTGAATGGGGTTCCTGGGGAAGGTGTGCTGGTGAATCTGCCATTAGCCTTTGCCAGCCACCAACTATCTCTTGTTCACACACAAACTAGTATCCAGTACATATGAGAGACTGCCCTGCTCACAGCTTAAGGTTTTGAGCCAATGGAATTCATTCAGGATTGTGGTCCCATCCTGGGCTCTTCAGTGGAAGCCACATCCTGAGCCTGGAAGTTTCTTCCTGAGTTAGTGGGTGCTCGTGTCTATGATACACCATGCTCACATGTCATAGAGAATCACAGGGAAATCCATGTTCTTATACATCTGCCTCAGCTCAGCTTGCATCCTGGCTTACTTGGTGACCACTGTGTCCTCATAGAACTCATGAGCCAAGTCCCCATCCTCATCACAGAACATGAAGCTATGGAATGGGAATACAAAGGGGATTCCCATTCAGTCTCTGGGATGTCACCCCCTGCCAGGGAGGTGAAGGACCAAAGGCTCTGAGGTTTGGAGCCACTGGTTCCCATGTCAAGGTCAGAAGGAGACTCAGTGGCCGCTGTGCTTTCACAGTGCATGGCATGCCGCTATGCTGAGCCCTCGCCTACTCATAGGTGGTGCTGCTGCTACCACTGTTGCTGCCTTCCATAGGCTCCTCCTTCATTCATTATATTAAATGGCATTGCATTTAATTTTTATTTTTTAATATACTATGCTTTAATTCCTATTTTGTTTAAGTAACCAGAAATATGAGCAGTTTTTCATTAAGGATTAAGAAAATGTCAGAAGTCAAACAGAATAACAGTACAGATGAACTGAAAACATGCAAATCTCAAGGAAGATATCTTCAGGGTGATTTTCATTGTGTTTTATTATTTTACCTTGTTCCTTGCTGTAGGTCATCAGAAGGCAGAAATTTCGGGATAAACCACAGATTGCTCTGGTGGGGAGAGCCTGCAGAGAGCCAAATCTTTCTCCATGAGGCTGGCTGAAGCAGACCACAGGAACAGGAGCACTTGGAGAACCCACATACTCCCCCCACTTTAAGCCTTTTATCCATGACAGCGGGCTCTAAAACCAAGGGGAAAAAAAGTATGATTCTTTTAAACAGGTAATAAGTACAGAATTACTTCTAACTTAAATTCTAAACAAAGAGAAAATCTGATTTAAACTCTTACAAGCAAAAATTATTTCACACCTTTTACTTTCTTATCCTTAGCATGTACAAATGTATTCCTTATTTGTTTTTTATTCTGCAGCTCTGGCATTTTTTTTTGTAAGAAAATGTATGGTTAATAATTCAAAATTTCTTAAAATTCTAGCAGAGGAAAGAAAATGTTACTAAGCACTTTTCTTCTAGTCTCACAGAAATATCTCAACTAAAGTAGATATATAAGGGGGACAATACTTTGGAAATATGACAAGCCATATATATAAAGGATGGCAAAAAATCTTATAAGCATGCATAACACAGGAAAGCTCCCTCAACTCCGAGCTCCTAAAGACAGGAAACACCATTGACTTCTCTATGTGCTGGGGGTAGAAGCTTCTTAGTAGATGGATGAATGGAAAAGTGTTTAGTGATGGAGCCTTATCAGGAGGACTAGAACAGGAGATGCTCTAGAGCATACTAGTAAGTTCTAGAGAAGGAGTGGTCCAAGCATGGTAAGGTGTGGCTGCAGATGGTGAAAGAAGGTGACAGAAAAGGCACCAACACACTTGCCACAGATAGCAGTGGCAACATTTCCCTAGATTCCAAGTAAAAAAACGATCACAAAGGAATCCAGAGGGAAGAAACTAGGGCTTTTTGGAGCCTGTCCAACAATTTTTTTTTTTTCTTTTGGTTGTTGCTGTTTTCCTTTTTGACTGTTTTGAATTTTATTAATCTTTTAAAAATGGATTTTCTTTTAGATGTGTAAGAGTTTTTTGTTTGTTTGTTTGTTTTGTATTTGAGGGAAGGGTCTACAGGGTGTTCAGGGTCTCACTACTAGATCGGACTCATAGTGATCCACCTGTTTACAGCCTCCCAAGAGCTGGGATTATAGGCGTGTGCCACCATACCCAGTCTCAATTGTTGTCTCAGCGTGCCCCAGGGGCGGGGCTGGCACGGCAGGCCTAGGGATCGAATCCCTGGCCCCTGCACTAGATGTATAAGAGTTTAGGTATTTACTTACAACTTTTCAGAGACTTTTGGTCTAATAAAAATAATATACTAAGCAAATTTCAGTTATTTCAAAAAAATTTCTAATAATTTTTAGTGCAGTTTGCCTTTCATTTTTCAAATGAATGAAAAGATAAGCATCATTCATCTGCATACCATGTTTTAAAAAATAATGGCAATTAGGGGCTTTACTACATCTGTCAGGCCATTTAGGTAGTCTGAAAACACTGAGCATCTTTGGAAAAGCTGAGAGGCATCAGGAATGTCCATGTGGGAGCAGAGAGGTCAATGTCAACACTCGGGAACTAGTTCTCTTTCTAAAGTCTTTGGTCCATCAGTGTTAAAATTGAGATAAGTTATGATTTATCTTTCATAATTCCCTGCCCCAATATTCCTTTCATGTGAATTTCAAAGTATAAATTTTATTTTTAATTACATACACAGGTACACTGGCAACTGCTTTATAGCACAGTTTGCATAAAAGAAGCGTTTTATTTAAATGCTGCTCATACAGCTCTAAGTGTTTCCACACAAGCATATCTGGGTCATCCAGATAACCCCCTGGGTTGTGCTTGGACACAGAGTTTGGGGCTTATATTTGCATTTTGAGCAGATGCCATGGAAGGCCTGAGGAGTCAAGAGGCAGTGACTATGTGGAAGGTTTTGCATGGCTCAAATAAAGAAATATGGTGGGATAAATGCCATTCAGAAGCAGAGGTAAGCCAAACTTCAAGTAATCTGTCTTGAAAAGCACCAAATTCAGAAGCAGTGAGTGCCACTGTATACCATGAGCCATCAAGGAGCCAGAGACACAAGGATGAGCAAGTCAGACAGAATCCTCTCCCCATGGAGTTCTGTTCAATGTTAGATGGGAGACAGACAAATACTTATACAGTACATCATGTGGTGAAGTTAAGCGCTCTAAAGCAAAACAAAGAAGGGGACTGATAATGATAGAGCCCCTACCAGAGGTACTGGGGTCAGGGAAGACTCTCAGAGATGTATGAATCTGAGCACAGTCCTACATGAGACGAGGGAGTCAGCAAGGAAAATCTCTTGGCACAGGAAACAGTGAGTGTGAACTTCCTGAAGCGGAGACGAGGCAAGTTGGTACCACAGTCTCACTACAGCACATACACTCAGTTCCTCTATCCACACCACACCTCTATCCATACCAACCCAAACAGCTACTACTATACAAATAAGTAAAGTAGTATAGTAGTACTGCTATACAAATAAGTATAGTAGTAAACTAGATTACAGTTATTAGGTTTGCTGGATATACTGTTAAATGATTTTGACAGGTTAAAGTAATGGATTATATTAAAAAATAATGATCCTGATAATGATAGTAGTTAAAATTATTTTTAAGCCAAGTGTGGTGGTGCAGACCTGTAATCCCAGCATATATGAAGCTGAGGCAGGAGGATCACTGTGAGTTCCAGGCCATCCTGGGCTACAAACTTAATTCAGGGGCAGCCTGAACTGTGAGATCTTGTTTCAAAAAAAAAAAAAAAAAAAAAAAACACAAAAAACCCAAATATTTTTAAGCTGTCAAAAGTCAAACCTATAGCATTCTACTACAAAATGAAACTTCTGGCACTTTGACTTTAGTAAAACAATACTGTCTCATCATATAAATATTTTATAATTGAGTTGTATAGCTAGAGGTGGTAGTACACACCTATAACCTTAGTACTCTGGAAAGCTGAGGCAGGAATATTCTACATTTAAGCCTAGCCTGAAAAGCTTAAAGACTTAGTGAGAATTTATTGCAAAAGAAAAAGAAAAACAAAACAAAAACAAACAAAGAAAACTAGGGAAGTGTAGTTCAGTGGAAAGGCTCTGGGTTCAAGTCCCAGTATCAAAAGAAAAAAGATTACTAGTTAAATAAGTTTTGTTTATATTTAACATACATGTTTGATATAAAACCTTTGTACCTAAGGTTCTGTCTCATACATTTAAGTATTATTACAGGAAACTGTGAGGGAGCTGGAAGCAGGCTGCACTCACAAGTCATTCCAGAATACTTGGAAAACAATTCCATTCCCAGTATCTTAGAAAATATCAAGTTTCTAGATATCATTTCACCTAACCAAGGAGGTGAAAGACTTCTACAATGAAAATTATAGAATATTAAAAGAAATAAACAAAAGAGGATTTAGAAAATGAAAAGACCTCCCTTGTTTATGAGTTGGAAAAATTAATGTGAAAATGGCCAAACTGCTAAAACACTACAAGTTCACTGTATTAAAATACCAACAACATTCTTCACAGAACCAGAACAAAACACTCCTAAAATTCATATGGAATCAGAAAAGACTCAGAATAGTCAAAATAGTCCTTAGCGAAAAGAGCAAAGTGGAAGGCATCATAACACTAGATTTTGAATTATACTACAAAACCACAGTAACAAAACAACATAGTACTGACACAAAAATAGCCAAATTAACCAACAGCATGGAGGAGAAGATACAAAAAAACCTATGTACCTATAACCACAAGATTTTTTGAAAAGGGGGCCAAAAATACAAATGGGAGAAAAGACAGTCTCTTTAACAAATGGTGCTGGTAAAAGGAGATAGTCACTTGCAGAAGATACAAACTAGACTCCTATCTTTCACCCAGTCTTGGTTACTTTTCTCTCATAGCTGAGACAAAATACCTGATGCCCAGAGTTAGAAGAAAAGGTTTATTTATCTCACAGCTTGTGGAGGTTTTAGTTCATACTCAGCTGGCCCCAAGGCAGAGGGCAACAGTTCATGGTGGTGGAAAACAGTAAAAGCAATAAGAGCAAAAAGGGAGGCGTGTGCGAGCAATCCTCATTCCCTTCCTTAAGTGGCCTGCAGGCTACCCACCCTGGGGTGGGTGCAGCACTCACACCTGTAACCCCCACACTGGACTATGAATAAATCACAAATTCTAGAAATCCACCCCATGACTGCATGAGGCTTTCGGGGACCATCTAGATACAAACCATAACATACTCTGTACTAAAATCAAATGAAAAATGGATCAAAGACATAGATATAGAACCAAAAACTTTGAAATTCCTGAAAGGTAATATAAGGGAAACACTTGAAGCCATGGGCACAGTTGGTAAGACTGTAGTACATCAACAAAAATCAACAAATGGGACCACATCAAATTAAAGAGCAAGAAAAAAGAATGAAGAGACAACTTATAGCATATGAGTAAATCTTTGCTAGCTATTATTCTGATAGTGGGTTAATCCATAGAATATACAAAAAACTGAAGAAAATTACCCCTCCAAATCAAATGACTCAGTCAAAAAGTGGGAACATTCACTGAATAGATGGTCCTCAAAGGAAGAAGTGTAAATGGCCAATAAGTATAAAAAAAGTTCAACCTCTTTGGCCACTAGAGAAATGTAAATCAAAACTACTTTGAGATTCCATCTCACCCCTGTCAAAATGGCTATCATTGAGAACAAAAAAAAAAAAAAAAAAAAAAGCTAATGTGGCTGCTAGAGTGGGCATGTAAACTGGTACAACCACTATGGAAATCAGTATGGATATTCTGCAAAATTCTAAAAACTTCTAGAAATACATTATTTACCTATACTTGATTTTTTTTGTTTTGTTTTGTTTTCCTCCGAATGCCCTCAGGGCTTGTGTGGCTGACTGGAGAGTTGTGGGGATTGAACTAGAGCCACCTGAGGCTGACAGCTTGGTGGAAGCAGCCCCTTAAAGAATTGAGCTAGGGCCAGGACCCCAAATTTTTTTTTTTTTTTTTTGGTGGAACCGGGGTTTTGAACTCAGATCCTTGTGCTTGCCAGGCAAGCGCTTATTATACCGAGCCATTTCCCCGGCCCCGATTTACCTATACTTGAAAGAATTAAAGACTACATACTACAGTGACACATGCATATCCATGTTTATAGTAGGACAATTCACAATAGCTAAATTGTAAAAAGAGCCTACATGCCCATCAACAGATAAACGTTACATATTTACAAAATGGAATACTACTGAGCCATCAAGAAGAATGAAATCATTCTTTTCTCTTGCTTGCACAATCCTAGTGTGTTATGGCTTTCTCTGGTAATAACCTCCCCCTCCCTTCCCTGGAGACACTACTGTCTGACATAGCCATCCTTATCCCCCTGAGTTCTCCAGACTCTGTCTTCTTGTCCCTGGCATGGCATTTACCACACTGGGCATTGCTTTAGCTGCCTGGGCCTGTCCTGCTCATATCTGCAAACTAAGGCCATTAGTTTCTGTGTTTCTGGAGTATAGGTCTGGCACTGCAGGAGTTGTCCTACAGGTTTTGCTGAACTCTACTGAAATCCCAAAGACATACCGGGTAAGTGATTTCTTTGACTTGTTCCCGGGTCTCCCGGAAGGCAAACTGCACCAACAGCCCGACAGCAGCAGGAAGCTCGCCTTCAATGTTGAGCTTGCCTCCCGGCCTGCTGGCATGGGCTGTGTGGAACAGCTGGCGTGGGGTCTGTCCATAGGTTTTTATCATGGTTTCTAGTGCTCGTCTCTGAACTGGATCTTCTACTGCAGACACATCCATCCCAAAATATGTCTGTAGAGTAATAAAGGATACGAAGTATGTAATACAACTAGAAAGTAAGACTTGGTAAAAACACCAAAGGGAAATAACAATTCGATTTATTGTTTAGGCAATGGTTTTACTCTTCTCTATTTCAAATGCAAATTATTTTGAAATGTTTTTGATAAGGCTAGTTCTCATTAATAGCTTTACTGAGATCAGACTAGGAATAATCAATGCTTCTGACAAGTGACAAAAATAACATATCTTACCTGATTGGAGCCTATTAGGTATGTTTAGGGCCTGGGAACATTATGTAAGATTTCATATATAATACTAAATTACTAAAGTTTTTTGTTCAAAGTGACACATAGGAAAAGGCAAAAAGAATCTAAAATGCAATGCTGGCAGGTAGTTCAAAAGTAAATTTGGGTTTTAATAAAAAATTCCAAACTCTTTAATATTCCAAATTTATTAATATGAAGGGCATTATCACTTGCTAGGTCTAGGGGTTGCACTGTGTTTCCTTCTCTGCTGCTAAAGCTAGCAGTCGGTGCCACACCTGCCATGTTATACTTTTAGCACTGAATCTGTTACAGCAGGCTTTACTTACAAGTTTAGATATAACACCCTTTAAGTGTCCAAATAAAGTTTCAGAGACACTCCAGGTATACAGTCTTCACCATTACTGCCCTCAAGCTCTACTCCAGCACCAAGGATCAAATGTGTACTAAAATGTTTATCTAAGCAGAGCCATGCAGAGGGTTACTTGACTTACTGTGTTTTTAAAAATTAGATGAAGATTGATATATTTAAGTCTATGTAAAAATGGTGTTTCCTTACATTCTATGGCATCTGTATATTAGTGAGTGAAAAATAAAGGCTCTTTCTTTCTTTCTTTCTTTCTTTCTTTCTTTCTTTCTTTCTTTCTTTCTTTTTTTGAGACAGGGTCTTGCTATGTAGTTCAGGCTGGCCTTGAGCTCACTTTGTAGCCTAGGCTGGTTTGGAACTTAGGACAATTCTCCTGCCTCAGCCTCCCAAGTGCTGGGATTATAGGCATGTACCACCATGCCCAGCAAAGGCACTTCTATATACCTTTAAAAATGTTAACACTTATTCTATTTAATTAGGTGGCAGGCATTATCCTATATGAATTTAAGTCCTCATATATGTTTTTGGCTTTATCATTCACTTTATAAATGTATACAATTAACTATAAAGAAGTTTGGTTATTTGCCTAAGGTCACAAGTGGCAGAGCCACAGAATGAAGATATGAACACAATTCTGGATTCACAGGCTATGTTTTTACTCATTGTTCTTAGTTGTGCCCCAGACTGAATTTTTCCAACTTCTGAGAACAACAATATAACTATATCCTTTTAAAAATATCCAAGTACCAAAAATTGGTAAAAGGAATTCTAGTCAGATGGAAAGTACCTTGTATATTTTAGTCTACAAATACTTTCAATGTGAATTTATATAAGAATATGTGTAACTGAAAAGATGGAGCAATATAATAGGCACAGAGTATACTGAGGTCAACATTAAAATGCTCAGTTGCTCTAAAAGTTGCACTTTAGGATCAACTATGAAGTTCAGAAGTTAAACCTGTACCTTGACCTTTATTTTACACTTAAATAGGCTTTAGGACATGCTACCCCAAGACACAGTCCCTTGGCACACTGACTATTTTAAGTTGGGGGCATGTGAGGCACAGCTTATGCAAGAAGTATCCTCTGGCTGTCTCCTGAAGCAGGTGTCATAAACCTGAAAAGGACCCTTTGGTCTTTCCTGAAGCAGGTAAGAAGACCCAAAGGGGAGAGGTGTCCTCCTTCTATCAGGAAAGGAGCATCCTTAACTTCAAAGACTGATGATGTCACATGGGAAGGAATGTGGGCCCTCATCCCTCACTATTTCCCTCAGCTCCTGGCATTTGCTTCATCTCCTTCTGCTCTACCATAATTCTGTATGCTTTTCTTCTATTGATTTCTCTTGTTTTTCTTTCTTTTTTTCTTTTATTTTATTGAGAAACAAGTAGCAATAAGACAGTTTCAAAACTGATTAATAAGACAGTTTTAATAATTAATACATTGTACATTGTTATCTTCTTAGTGGTTATCCATAGTACAAGATGCACACAGGATATCCTGTCCAAACACTATTAGTACAAACCTTTCTTCTCATTGAATTAAGCGAAAGTAGCTGTATATCTATCCTAACTATTCTGCATATACAGATACAAAATGGTCCTTCCTTTGTATACCATTTTTTTGTTTAGTCCTGTCAGAAATGGGTATTTCATTGGCATCTAAATACTACAGGTGTGTGAATTCAGTAAAACAATCCAACACAATCCAGCATTGATCTCTCTTGTGACAGGGTCCAGCCAGTGAATCAAGATAGAGAGAAGAAAAAAACAAACCCTTCACCATACTTTCCTTCTGTACCTACTACCATTACATACAAAATAAATATTTGCCAATCTAAATGTACTATGCTTATTAAATTACACAAAGCATACATATATCTTCTAGTAGAATAATCAGTAAATCTGAATAGTATTCTCTCTTTTAGACCCTAAATCTCATAAGGAATTTAATTTTATATTACTTTGAAGATATCCAAAATAGTTAGAAAAATGGGCTGAAGAGAAATTTATTTTTAGGCTTTGTGAATGAATTTCTGGCATAACAAAGCTCAGAAATAGAGGGACATAGTGGTATAGGCATTCCGGTAAACTGAGGCAAGAGGACTACAAGTTTGAGGCTCTACCTGAATAATAATTATTGTAAGACCAAGATCTAGTCTATCAACCTACTAATTTTAAAATTAGAGAAACAATGAAGTTAGATGTCTCTTGCAGTGCATTAATACATAATCTGTTGTGTTTATATTGAGCTGTATTAGAAGTATTAGGAATTATCTTTCTCCTCATAAGCTGCCTTTTAAACCTCCCATTCCTTGAAACTTTTCATTGTGTAGGCCTCGATGGAACTTGACCACCAGGTCCAGGCTCATCCATCCCACTGTTCTTCATAATCCTACCTGTCCTATTTGCCTCTGCTTCCCTAGAGCCCAGCAAAACAAATGTTTCCTGAATAGATATAAGTTTCTTTCCTTTTTTTTTTCAAAAAAAGTACTCAAACTTTATTTTCTTACAAAATATTACATAAGTGAACCCAAACTAAAATAGATACGTACATGTACATCTGTATACTATATTACTTCTAAAAGACAATCTATAAAAGTAGATGGTTTAACAAAAATCTGCAAAACCAAACAAATGCAAAAAGACCTAACATCAGCATTATAAAGCTGACTTTTCTCAAAGGAAGCAATAGTAGTTTTAAACTGCTGATTGTACTTGCTTTTTACAAAAAGTTTCTGTCACTTTTTTACATAAGAAGTATATTCTACTTGTAGCAATTCTATAAGTAGCAATTCTACTTGTAGGAATTTATCTTAAAGAAGTACAGACATACATAAAGAAATAACATTAGGAATATTCATCTTAATTCAACCACAAATCCTAACTAAATATCCAATGACAGTACACTGGTTAAATAAATTGTCATATAGCTGTACTTTAGGATAATAAATAGCCTTCAAAAATCATGTAGAATATTTAATGACTTGAATAAATTTGAAAGTACATTGTCCAGAGGGAGGAAAAGGTGACCAAATATTATTATGGTATTGGAATGATATATATGTAAAGAACAAGTCTGAAAGTTTTTCTATTTTTGAGATAGGGTCTCTGTGTGTAGTTGATGTTGGCCTCGAACTCATTGTGTAGTCCAGGCTGGCCTGGAACTCACTGCGATCTTGCCTCAGCTTCTCAAGTGTTGGGATTAAAAAGCAAACAAACAAACCACTTCAGAAGTATTTTGGGGCCGGGGAGATGGCTCAGTAGAATAAGTGCTTCCTTAGCAAGTGCAAGGGCCTGAGTTCAAGCCCCAGTTCCACAAAAACAAAACAAAAACAAACAAAACACACACACACACACACACACACTCACACAAAAACCAAGTGGGGTTACAGGCATGCACCATCATGCCCTGCTGGAAGGTGGTTTTGATATTTATCTCTGGATGGTGATACTGAAGCTTATTTTTAGGGAAGCACTTATTCTACTGAGCCATCTCCCTGGCCCTTTGAAGCTTTGTTTTAAATTTCTCTTTTGGTATTTATCTCTGGGTGGTAACATCAAAGCTTATTTTAAACTTTATATATTTTTCTAGTGAAGCATATGAATTGTTTCTGTATGTAATAAGGAAAATGCCATTTTAAAATAGAACA